ATACTGGTGAATGTGTGTCACCTACTTGGCAGCGGGTGGATTTTTCCCACTAACTGTTCCTCGTCATTTCCATGAGGTATAGTATCAAACGTATACGTCAACAGAAAAGTTATAAATGGCAGGCCGGGTTGTTGCCCAGTTGTTGCCCCACAAGAATGGTATTACACCACTTGATATATGCCGGCGCAGATGACCAGTTGGCAAGTGGGTGAATGTTGTTTTAGGCGTAGCAGTGTGTATGTACTCAGCATGAGTGTATAATTATTCACAAGAAAACCTTAGGGGCCTCCTGGTCAGCTAACACATTTAGCAAACTACAACATCTCTCGTTTATGCCTCCAAAATTGGGGCAACTGTTGTGAATATCACGGAAGAGATGTCCTTATTTTTTTAACTGGAATGAAGTAATGCAATTCCCATCCCATGCTATTGCGTATACCATGATCAACGTTGGCAGAGGCGAGGGCCGGTGTGTATTAAAAAAGTCGTTGCGCTGCGCGGTCTGCGCACGCGCATTGCATCGCGCGCGCGCGCGTGCGGCTAGGCTTTGTGTAAGTTTTGAACCAACAGAATTTAGTTTTAACAATGAGGTGAATAAAGGGGATATCAATAGAATAGAACACTGTGATTGAATCTAAATTTCACATTAGAATAGTGCCTGCACAGCTAATACGTAAAGTGATGCTTTGCATTGAGAATTGATGAGAAATGATCACCAGTCGATTCATTATAGCTAGGGAGACTCTTTTCCAAATAATAAAATATCTCTATCTCTGTGTTGCGGATTTAGGAGCTAAGAGCAGGAAGGTGTTGTCGATGACGGGGCCGTATTTAGTTTCTGCTTGTCTTTTTCTCCTCCGCCTTCTTTCTCTTGCTTCGTCGGGGCTTAGCTGCTCTCCAGTCTCGCAGTCCACTTGCACACCGGTGTCCAGCAGCCACATGGGCTCGTTGCACTCGCACGCCGTGTGGACGCAGAAGGCGTCTGGAAACTGCGGGCAGGTTCGGCCGGCGCACGGATCCGTCACACAACCTCCCGAACACGTCAGGTCCGAGAGATTCCTCGGTTGGCCGTTGGTACAGGGCGCCATGGTACCATCGCGGAGCAGGAAAACCGGCCATCTCTCTCCGCACTTGCTGACAGTGAGACACGTCGCTCCTACGACTCCAAGACACTGCAGGTTCTTGCACGGATCCGCGAGGTCAAAATCCGTCTTATTCTCGCTATCCCCCGAACCGGAACCCTGCTGCTCCGGCTTGACGTCGCAATTTTCGCCTTCGAATCCTTCGCAGCAGTCGTTCACCCACTGCTCAATCGTTCCGTTGGCATAGGTCTCCGGCTTGACCTTGAAGCATGGCTCTACACGGTTACTATCGTCGACCGTAATGTCCGGGTGGAATTCTCTCCTCTCCCTTCTGCTGTGGCCCTGCTGCTGTTGCGTGAATGGTCTGGCGAGGCAGTCGGGGATCATGAGGAGGCACAGAGCCAGCGTGCATACCTGGATGATATTTCTGGAGATTTTCATTTTTGCCGAAATAATCTTTTTGCAGACGTTCCGATTTGTTTTGGAGATGGTTTGTGAGCCCGCCTTTCCCCTGTTTTATAGTCGCGCTGCGACACTTGCGGGGCTTTTGTGCGGAGGACAGGAATCGATGAGGGGGTGTGGTCAAAAATCAGCTGACGCGACCGACAACTGACTGGGCAACCATGTCCCAGACGGGGAAGAAAGGATTGGCGCAGTACCGAAGCATTAACGAAGATGACGAGGAAACTCTCGCCCTTCGCGGAAGGCGGCAGAGACGGTCCCCCGTCTGCATCTGGGGCTCATTCTTCGCTCTAATGACCGGGACACTCGTTTTCATTGGCGCCACTTTCGCTCTGCTCGCCGGCTTCGGTTTTTTCAGCGCCCCAGGCGACGCCAGGGGAAACGAGACGGCGTGCGAGCTGCCCAACGTCCGCGTCAACTGCATCCCCGAGGGCGGGCGCTCGGAGACCGAGGACGTGTGCCTGGAGCGCGGCTGTTGCTGGGCCAAGGAAGAAACGCCGAGCTGTTTCTATCCCAAGGGGTTTGGCTACGCTGTGGACGGGCAGCCTGCGGACACTTCTACGGGAAAGACGGTGAACCTTACCCGAAAAACGGGCCAGCCTTCGCAGTACGGCGGGGACATAAAAACTGTCCGTGTGGATATTTTCTACGAGACGTCCTACCGTTTACGCGTGAAGGTGAGCCTGCACCCCCACTCACTGCCACGGGCCTCGAGTCCGCGAGAAAGAGTTTTCCATTTAGCGCGCAACAACAAGCCCCTCCCATCTTCTCACAAGCGCGCGCCGCCGAGGTAGCTAGCTAAAACTTTTCTCTGCAGCTGTGGGACCCGCGAAAGAAACGGTATGAAGTTCCTCTCCCGACACCTGAGCCTCAGGGCCAAGCCTCCAACCCTCTCTACAAAGTTTCAATTTCAAGAGAAGATTCCTTCAGTTTCACAGTTCAGAGAACTTCAGCCTCGAGGGACATGTAAGTCAATTCAACACCAACCCACCTATTACTTGCAAATTTCACTCTCCCACAAAAGCGTATGCACCCAAAACAAGAACAGCCCATTGATAGTGAGATGTGCTCACAATAGCATTGCGTGATGATTGCCATGTATGTCAGTTGCCTGAGGGACAAAACTGTAGTATATTATATACTAGATACTGTCACATCCGTACTATTGGTAAGTGAGGCGAGCCAACCCTTCTCGTCTTAATTACACAATTTTTAGCGCCATTTTTCTGACACTTGACGATGTACATGGGCACACAACCCAGAGTGGTGTGACTATGCCATAAATGTAACTTGCTTCCAATAATGCATTAGATTTGTTCGATTAAAACAACATGCTATTGCTTTAAAAGCCCAGGTGGTCCCAGCGAGCTTGTTTACAACTTTGCTTCAGTGTTTGAGCATTCTTTGCCTAATCTAGTTAAGGTTCATATGGAGCGAAGCAAGGCTCTCCAAGTACCTTGTTCCACGAACTTGCCTTCTCACCCAGCCAGGCGCTACGTCTTTTGGCCAAAGTTGGTCACCAAGCAGCCACCTGAATAATTACACACACGCACGACGTAATGCCCTATTGTATCAGAATTGTCGTATTTTTTGGCTCAACAGTGACAAGAACTCACCGTCAAAGTATTGCCAAAAGCTTTCATCATCGAAATAGTGTATTATTGCCAAAAGCATCTTGTGGTTCGTCTGAATGTTCGTTTACTCTGTTACTTCCTTGATCTCTTTTGAGGAAAGGATGAGTTGGTTGCCTGTGTGGTTTGCTGGTGAATTGACGCTGAAATTGGAAGTTGGATGTGAGATTAATTGGCAGCGGGGGTTTAGCCAAGAGGTTGTTGCAATGGAAGGATGGGATGGTCACTGCCATTTTTGATCATGTGAAAGAGAGGGTTGGGAGGTTGAGGGGAGGGAGGGATGTAACTTGGGAGAAGTGTGAGGAGGAGGAGAAGGAATATTATTTGGGAAAGGTGTGAGGGGGAAGAGGAGGGAGGGATGTAATTTGGGAGAAGTATGGGAAGGAGGAATATTTGGAAAGGTGTGAGGGGGGGCAATTCGGGTAAAATGGGAATTTGCAGGTAAGCATTTTGTTAAGTGGAGGTACATGCAGTGGGCAGAGGGGAAGTAACGTAACAGCAGCTGCATTGGGTGGGGAGATCAGGCTGTGGGAATGGATGTATGACAACGCTGGATCGGCAGTTATCAAGATTGCAGCCGGCTAAGGAGTTACCGTGGAAGTTGGGGAAATATCTCGTACCAGGTGTTCCTTTGCTGAGAGAGATCGTGTTGTTTGGATGCATAAGTATGTGACCACACGATGCAGTCTGTGTGAAATCCTCCAATACCTAGAGTCAGTTTAGAAGAGAGACAAGAATCAGGGCCTACAGCAAAGGGGAGCAAACGTGGCATGACTTTGTTGCATTAGGTGCTAGTTCCAAAGGATCAAACAAGACCTTACATTTGCTTCCTGCATGCCACAATTATGCAGGGTGTAAAGTTACGGAATCACCTCCTCTAGTTTTCCCCTATGGTTCTTCCTGTTGAGAAACGAGGAAGTGCTCAAAATTAGACAGGAAGTGAACTGCTGCAGGAAGTAGAGTTCTGTGGGACTCAAAAATCTATTAAGGACACTTTCTTGCAATAAGGGACACCTCCCCTTCTCTCCCAACCTCTCTTCCTTTTCTCTCTCTCTCCTCCCTCCCTCCACCTTTTGAAGACATTGACTTTGTCATTCAGAATGTGTCCTCCACACTAAACTGCCATGCTCTGAACTCTGCTTCGTTTTTGTCATCAACATTGTGCCAAAAATAACCATCTCTCTCTCTCTCTCTCTCTCTCTCTCTTCTCTCTCCAGATTTTCCACTGCGACTGGACTAATTCTGTCCAGTCAGTACCTCCAACTAACAGGGATCCTACCTTCAGACAATATCTATGGTCTCGGGGAACACGCAATGGACCGGTTCAAGTTGCTCACAAATAACTCCGTTCTCACCCTCTTTTCTCGCGACCAGCCTCCCAATCCCGACGTGAGTAGTGTGGAAAGGGTTAAGTAGACTAGTGGTAGGAAGGTTAATAATGGTGTAGTTCGCCCCATGTATTGTATGTAGGGTTTGTTTACATTTGATATTGGTACTGAAAGTCTCGATCATCCAACTCATTAGGTTTCTTTTCTTATTTCATTTTATGCGTTCTGAATACGGAGTGTTTGTTGTTGTTCTTGTATGGGATTCCTAACACCATGGTTTACTGTTGTGTGTGTGCTCTTGCAGAAACCAGGTCAGAATCTATATGGTGTACACCCCTTCTACCTCTGTATGGAACAAGATGGCAGCTCACACGGTGTCTTTCTGCTTAACTCAAATGCAATGGGTATGTCCTTTTTTATAGTACACCGTTAATTGACAAAATTGAAACATTTTCCGCATACTGTGTAAGACCTATATTTACCTGACATGGTGTAGGAGAATGGCTATTTTGCTTCTCCCTCCCCGTCAGAGATTGAACTTGGGCCGTTGCCGTCGGTAACCTACCGTACAATCGGAGGAATTTTGGACTTCTATTTCTTTCTCGGCCCGTCTCCTGAGGCAGTGGTCCAACAGTATACTGAGGTCTGTCTGAGTTGTGAAATACAAAAAATTTAGTCGAAAAAGCACATCAGCAATCCAAAAGTCACTGGTTCATAACTGAGTATTTAAATTTTGCCTTAAACAGCCTGTATTAAAGTTGTTGGTAAGAATTGTGTAACCACTAAAATTTATATTTTCCTTGTATGTAATTATATATGGATCCATCAAACTGTATATCCAGCAGCCCTTCTCACACTTCTTTCTCTTCCATCTTTCTGTATGTAGTATGTAGTATGTAAGTAAAGCGCGAGCTGTTATTTTACTATTGGGTCCCTTGGCTACAGGTTATGTCAACTGAATAGTTTGCATCACTGAGTCGAGAATATCCATCCCATTGCGGTGCAGCTGCGTTGCCGTGGAATCATTCGATTTAGACAGCAGGTTATTGTTATTCTAGCATTCGCACAACTTAAAAACTCGCACTCCGAGTGCTCAGTTATCCACGGTAGGCTGACTAACCCAGCGAGGGGTACTCGTCTTACGTCTGTATAAGCTTGCATTTTTGCATGCAACAGCTGCTACCCATTGCTTGTGTGCTTCAGGCAAATTCGAGCCTCGTTACTCCTCCATAGCCTGCAGACCTCATTTGCCGCCCTCGAACCTCTAGAGAGCTCTAGCCATTAGGGTGCATGCAGGACTATGTAAATCTGATAGGGTTTTCGTGGCTGATAGACAGACAAACTTAGTCACCCAAAACTGCAGAAATTTAAGATTCCTCCATCGATAGCATATCTCTCTATACAGTACTAGACCACAACTGATTGGCAGGATACTCTCTAATGGAACCGAAACCCGCCTGTGTTGTGTACTGTAGTTAAAATAGTGAAATTTGTCTGCAGTCTGTCAGACTGACAGGCTAGTCAAGTCATGGTCCACCCACCCAATGACAACACCTTGCCCACTCACTCCCTCCACCTATAGTAACCTAGCAACCACCATGGTCCACCCACCCAATCGCAACACCTTGCCCACTCACTCAGTAACCTAGCAACCACCTCCCTGCGAGGTCCACAGTATATACAATAACCTGCTTCCTGGGTTGGAGGCTGTTATTCCCCTGTGGTGAGTAATTAGCCATCTCCGTTTACGCACAGACACAGACCAGACACACACACACATGTAAAGAGATTAGTGGCATACTTTGGAAGTGTGTGTGTGTTTTGTAATAGTAAATAGTACATGTAACTAGGGAGGCAAAGGGTTAAAAATAATACCAGTGGGAGCAAAGGTCAGTGCTGTGTGCAGGTGGACAGATAGAAACAATTTTAGTCGTTGCAAGTTGCACGTGCAAGCAGTGAAAGGTAGACACTGAAGCCATATTAGAGGCCACCTCACCCACATGTAGGCTTCACTGCCGAGCTGAAAATACCGCACGTAATAACAGAAAAACTGCCTTCCAGCTGGATCCATGCTTCATTTTTGAGGAAGGTGTTTTGTGGTGTGTATGTTTCCATTGAATGGAGGTACAAGTGTGTGTCTGTGTGGTAAATAATCACTTCCCCTCAGTTACTCCACCAATGGAGATGAAACAACACCACAGCCTTTTGGCACTTTGCCCATTTCATCTTCAATTGCGGCACGCGTGTGTTTGTGTGGGTCTAGCCCCCACACAGATGTGTCTGGGGTGCATTCAGACGCAAGTCGTAGCACTTGGCTGGAGACAATGGGTTAACGAGCGACCGCTTCCTTTGCAAGTACTTTTGCCCTGTCCTGTACAGCTGCTCGGCTCACAAGAGTGCGTGACTCGGCCGTTTTCCTGTTGCCATGCCGGCAGAATGTTTTCTTTGGAGGTGCATTAGGATAGCGGGCAGACCTGCCAAATGGAGAGCTTCCTGTGCTTTTGACGGGTCACCTCTCTATTCTTCCTTTTCCTCTCTCGTCCTCTTACTTCTGTTCTTTATCTTTCTCATTTTTATCTCCCCTCCCTTCCCTCTCTCTTGCTGTAGGTAATTGGACGTCCATTCATGCCCCCCTACTGGTCACTAGGGTTCCATCTCTGTCGCTGGGGTTACGACACAGCCAACAATACCCTGAAGGTCGTGGAGAGAATGAGAGATAGCGGCATTCCACAGGTGGGCGGAGTCAAGGGCGGGGTGTTCAGCATGAGAGCAAGAGTTTTAGAACATGATTATATAACATATTTTCAAATATGTACGTAGGTCCCTGCAAATATGACACTGACTTTTGTTCAAAATAACTGCCTCTTGGAAGTTCTGTAAATAATGCCACGTGTATAATAATTACGACAGAGCAAGCAAGTAACCAAGTGAATGTGGGCTATTTTCATATCACATATTTGCTGTCCAAATATACAAGGGTGATAATCGTATGCACCCTCACTGTTGCGCAACAAATACATGTGTCGCAAATATTTTCCGCGTCTTGCGGATATTGTGTACATCGACATATTATATGATAGTCACGTTACGCATAAGCCGTATATATTGTGACCTTACACCCTGGGACTTAGAACAAACATCTTGACTTGCGTAAACAAACAGCTTGCAAGCCCCCGCCTTCCAAGAAAACTGTTGAAATTACAATTATTATTTATTATACTGCAAATGTATTGGCAAAGCCGTGAGAAAAGAAGCCTTAACTCTTAAACCGACCACATGTAAAGTCGAGAAGTACTATAAATTGGTAAACAAACAACATGTCTGGATGATTACACAACAAGGGGGGTTAACGCAGGGTGTGGTAGAGGCTGTGGGGGTATGAGGTAGGTGTAGCAAGGAATGAGAGATAGTGGAAGCTTTACTTGCCATGCGGTGTATGAATCATTTCTTTCATGTTAGCCCACAACAGAATGCGCTGGATTTACCACCACAACCTAGGGTCTCTCTCTCCTTGTTTACAGTGAGTTTCTACGGGGAGGGGGAGTTAAGCAGTGCCGTGCCTGCCCAAAAACAGGATGGGTGACTATATTATATGTCATCCAGCGATTTCTCCAAATTTAATTTAGATGAAGCTGTATTTAGGGTTTTCAGATGACATTTGTGGACGGAATGTTGTTGTTGTTGTTATTGTTTGCTATTTCGTTGTAGATCATGTGCCCTCCACAGCAGGGTCGTACCGGTTCCGGCTGAGTACCAATCCATTTCCTGTCATACGTACAAAGAATCTTCCTCTCTCTGTTTCTCTCTCTTTCCTTCCTCGTTCTCGTTTCCCCTAGCAACCCCCGAGTGTACGTATGTTATGACAACAGAATATTGAATTAGAGCATCACTTTTCCCTGTTTCCCAATCAGTCGCGTGCTTGCAAACACGAAGCATCGCGGTGATGTCGCCACGCGGTAATTGGAAAAACGGCAGCACGGCTTGCATACTTCCCCTGTCATACCTCGGCAGGAAATGCATTACATGGAATGTGACAGGATTAATGAGAAGAATCTGTGCATGCTCTGTCTTCCACCTTAAAAGTGTTACTGACTGGTCTTACATTACACCACTGGCACACACATGACGGTTCAAAAACTGTGGAGAAATACGGATGACATAATCTGTAGGTCAGGGATGGAAAGTACGAACTGCTAATTATAGGGCGGACTTTTGCCATACGTAAGGGATTATTTATACAACAGCTCAAATCTGCTGTGAAATGAGGCCCAAACGCAAATTTCTCAAAGCCCTTGATTTGTGAGTGTGGTTCACGCAAGTCCTGCCATGTGTTGGGTAAGTGATGCGTTGCAACGTACAATAATTAACATAGGCTTAATCTCTATCGTTTTGTCACAGTGCAAGCAAGCGAAAAATATATGTATTGACAAATGACTCGCCACAAATAGGTGCTAAACTTATAAGTCGTACTGTGAGGCTGAGCCATTTCTCCCTGTCTCCTGTTCTTTTCCCAACCTCCCTCCTCCTCTCCTCCATCGGTTGTTGGGCTCCATCGGTTGTTGGGCTCAGGACACCCAGTGGAATGACATAGACTACATGAGCGAGCACTTGGACTTCACCTACAACACCACCACCTTTGCAGAACTGCCTGACCTCATCTCGAATCTCCACTCCCATGGACAACACTACGTTCTCATCACGGTGAGCTAAACCCTCCCTCCCCCCCTTCCTTCCTTCTCTCTTCTTAACTCTTCCTTGTTAGCCCCACTGTCTCTCTCTTTCAACTTTACCTGACTCCTTCTCACCCCTCTTCTTCCTCGCCCTCCTCCCTTACTTCACCCTTACTCCCTCCCATCCACAGGATCCTGGTATTGGTAGCACGCAGCCGAGAGGTAGCTACCCTCCCTATGACGACGGGGTCACCATGGGGATATTCATCACAAACTCCACCCACCAACCAATAATAGGCGTGGTCAGTGCAACATTTACTGTACAATATCTGGAGAATATCGAGGAAAAAATTCACGACAAAACTTCAAGTTACATGGAGAAACTTTCTTAATGCTATACCCAGACCAAAAAAGTACTAGAAAAACTTTCGTATATACGGTGGCTCCACATTCACAAAAGTTTTAATCCTCGAGTTAAGCATACAATATACAGTACACCTCTTTCTCTCTGTGAGGTATATAGGTAAGCTAGGTATGTATTGTTTCGGATGCAGGTATGGCCAGGCGAAGTCGCATTCCCAGATTTCACCAACCCACACACCCAGATCTACTGGGATAAGTTTGTGTCCCTGTTCCATTCCAACATCTCTTTCGACGGTCTGTGGATTGACATGAACGAGCCTTCAAACTTTGTACCTGGCTCTCTTGACGGATGTCCCAACACGAGCATCAATAACCCTCCGTTTCTTCCTGGTCAGTCCGTGTCTAATTGCGCTAAGCTGTATCAAAATGCATTAAGCTGATTAGCTCTGTGTCTAAATGCATTTAGCTGTATCAAGAATGCGGTATTCTTGGTTAACTTCTGTCTAAATGCATTGAGCATTTTTAATTGTGTTAAGTGAGTGTCTAAATGCATTATGTCGATGTCTAAATGTGTTGAACTTCATCAAAAATGTGTAAAGGTGGGGTTTTGTCAGTGTCTAATGTGTTAAGTCTGTGTCTAAATGGGTTCAGTTGGTGTGTCTAATCAAACGTTAAGCTGATCAAATAAGTACTGCACTGTGTGACATCTTCAACTGCGTCAGCGCGCATCAAGCCATGTCAATTTTCATCAAGTGGTGTCATGTTAACACACGTCTTTTCCCCAGGAGTATATCATGAGGGATTGATTGATATCTTTGGGATAATTAAGAAGACCTTGTGCATGTCTGCCAACCAATCCGCCTCCCTTCACTACAACGTACACAGCCTCTATGGCTTCTCCGAGGCCAACAAGACCATGAGGTGGGTCACATGATGCATCACGTGACTCTCACGTGATGCATCATGTGATATTCAGGGCCCTGGAGAAGGTGCTGGGGAATCGATCGCTGGTGATCTCTCGATCGACGTTTCCAGGGAGCGGGGTGTTTGGAGGGCACTGGCTGGGGGACAATGAGAGCAAATACAGACACATGCAAAACTCTATCACAGGTATTATATTATATAAAGAGGGGGGGAGGGTGTGGGACGAATAGTTCTTATGACCACTTGAGAAGAAAGGGAAGGAAGGATTCTCATGGGTGACATGAGAGTTATCAACCTCGTTTGAGAATATAACGGAACTAATTTATGTTTTTCTGAAAGGAATTCTGGACTTCAGCCTGTTTGGAATTCCACTGGTAAGCAAGCACTGCAGTAGATGGGGAGGGACGATCTGTGTTTGTTGTAGGTTGGAGCGGACATCTGTGGGTTTTCTGGCAGCACCACTGAAGAGTTGTGCACTCGATGGATGCAGCTGGGAGCCTTCTACCCGTTCTCACGCAACCATAATGCCATCGGAGAACCAGTGAGGCTAGAGATTGTCCACCTCCATCATTTCTCGACTCATCTCTCTGTTCCTAGGCTCAGGATCCAGCTGTGTTTAGCAACGACTCTGTGGCCTCGTCTCGCGACGTCCTCCTTCTCCGATACCGCATGCTCCCATTCCTCTATACTCTGTTCCATTTCGCTCACGTCAACGGATCAACAGTCGCCAGACCACTCTTCTTTGAGTGAGACCTATTCCTCTATTCCTCATTCCATGTTCTCCATTCTCATTCCTCTATTCCAAGTCCACATTCCAATATTTTCTGTTCATCCATTCGTACTCATTACTTTATTCTCATTCTCTTTCTCTATTCCCATTCCACCGTTCCAATTCCACTGGCCAGGTTCCCCAAGGACCAAGTGACGTGGGATGTGGACCAGCAGTTCATGTGGGGCTCAGCTGTCCTGGTCACCCCTGTCCTCGTAGAGGGAGCCACTTCAGTTGAGGGTTACTTCCCTCCCGGGGCCAGATGGTTCAATCTGAGGAAAGTGGGTTACTTCTCTTCTGCTGTGCCCTCTTTTTTCAATCCTTCCCTTCCTTTTTCACTTGTACCCTCAGCTTTTGAAGGGGGACCACTAAATTTGTATATAGGACTGGTGTAATACTATAGTCTAGGATGCCCTCTTCTCTCCCCCTCTACCGCCTCACTCTGTGCCCTCCTCGACCCCCAGGGAAGTGAGATGACATCATCTGGTCACGTGGCTCTCTCTGCTCCGCTGGACACCATACCTGTCCATGTGAGAGGAGGCTCTATCATAGCTCTGCAAGAACCCAATACCACCACAACTGAGAGGTTCTCCTACCTGTTCTTGTTCCCCTTTCCTCTCTATGAACCTCATTTAAATGCCGCCTTTCATTCCTCCCCCTCCTCCTTTTCCCCATCCTATTTCTTTCCCTCTCACTCCCCCCTTTTTGCTCCATCACTCCTTTCTCTCTTTCTTATTTTGCAGCCGCAAGAATCCATTTGCATTGCTGGTTGCCCTGGACGACAACCAATCAGGCGAGGGCTGGCTTTATTGGGACGACGGAGAGACGCTGGCAACCTTTGAGACTGGCACATACTCTCTTCTTCACTTCTCAGTCGCAGATGTAAGACTATCTGCATTCATCCATGCCGGCCACCTCACATGTAGTAGCATCACACTTCCCATCATAAATGGCAGTGATCAACCAATTCTTTTAGTATTCTTACCGTGGCATCCCAGCTGTCACTAATTAACTTCAGATTTGACCTTTGCCCTCTGTGTACAGGGCAACCTTTCAAGTTCCGTCAGACACTCTGGCTACACCGAGCTAGACAATGCAATGTTACATCTTTTTACCATATATGGTCTTCCGAGTCAGCCAATGTCGGTCGCTCTGAACAATAATCCCGTACCGGAGAGTGACGTGGAATGGAATGAGGACACAAAGGTGGGTGTGGCATTGAGTAGCAAGTGAGACTTCTGAAAAAGGACCCCCCCCCAAAAGACACCTCTATAAAGGACACTTGTTACCTCCGAATAAGGGACACCTTCTGAATAAAGGACACTTCCCATTTCCCTTTATTCAGAGGTTTTAGTTCTATTTCCCCCTCCTCTCCTTTCTTGTTTTTATAGGTGCTGAATGTGAGAGTATCACTGACAGATCTCAACCAACCATTCACTCTGACATGGAAAACAAGTGCCTATTAACTCAGTAGAGAAAAGTATTACTGTATGTTGTTGGTTGAAAACTGTGCCGATACGCTTCCCAAACGTGTGTGTGTGTAAAATTATATAGCATTGGAAGTTTATTGTTATACTTGTCAAGTGCCACGACGACACGGTGACACAAGTGGTATGCACAGAATGATAATATAATAGCTGTCAGTTTGTAACGCTGCGAGAGTTTTGTTGCATTCCCGAGGTCATAAATAACATCATCTAACAATGTTTGTTGTTGTTTTTGTTTTTGTTTACACGGTGACTTTGGTGAAACCGACCGTTGCGGTTGGGTCCCCATTGTATTTGTTCTGAACATGAATCCTTTTTGCCCTGAGAGACAAAGGAAGAGATAATTATTATTTGTACACACACACGTGTAAAAAAGTGTGCGTCAATTGGAATGCAAGTTAGGCATCTCGTCCTCGGGCTTCTAATGCGGTTTGATTTCACTGACTCGACTGACTATAACACATTCAATGATGACTGGACTGAACCACACCTAGTTCCTCACCTTGAGCTGTCTGTGGCTGGAGTGTTTGCACTGCGACTGTCTTTGGTGGAGATGTGAGTCCGACAGGACGCCAGTCTTGACTCCAATGCCTGCCATGGGTGATTACATTCCAGATTACATTTAGGACACACCACTGATCAGGACACATGTTTAGGACACACAGTTTAGGGACACACCACTGATCAGGACACATGTTTAGGACACACAGTTTAGGGACCCACCACTGATCAGGACACAAAGTTTAAGACACACCACTGATCAGGACACACAGTTTAGGGACACACCACTGACCAGGACACACGTTTAGGACACATGAAGACGCCACTCACCCCGACTTTTCTGAGGAGATCTCCGACCATATTGAGGGCAGATATCCTGGTGGAAGGTGTGTAGTTCTGGATGCCAGTGAAGGCAGTCCGCGGCGTCCCTGGCTCAGTGGAGGGGATGGTGTGTGTGTGGATGAGTGGGGAGGGGGAGGTGGTGGTGGAGGGAGTGGGAGGGTGTGAGGTGGAGGACAATGTGGCGATCTGGGGGAGCAACGAGGGAGACATAGTTATTATAGACAGGTCTGGTCAATGATGAAATTTTGGGGCTGATTCAAAATATTATTGAAAGTGACCCCAATGCTAAGTTAATACACAGCTATATTATATATATAGGAAGCTCGAGGCAAGATACAGTTTCAAAAGCATTACACACAAAATCTTTCTCACTCGTGGTGTGGATGGGGCGGCAGATGAAGCAGGCTCCTCTTGGGGGGCGGAGCCAGATTGCTCCGCCCCCTCATCACTCCCCACCCGGCGATGCTTACGATTCAGCTCCGATCGAAGTTCTGACCAGCAAAGGACGGAGAGAGATGGGGGAGGGGAGAAAAAGAGGGAAGGAGACGTAAAGTTCTGTTTCAGAAGAGGGCGTGTTTGTTCACCTTTGACCTCGTCCTTGAGTCTCTGGGACATCTCGGCCAGTCTCTGCTTCTCATCTAGTTCATTCTCGAGTATCGCGTTCCTCTCAAATGCCTGTAGAGACCACAACCAGCAACAACAATCACTGTCTATTGTACACACACCCTCTCCCCTCTCTGGCTTCACCCTCTTCCCTCCCTCACTCCATTACCAGCCTACCTCTCTCTCCCTCCCTCCCTCTCTCTCTCTCTCTCTCTCTCTCTCCCTCCTGCTGTCTTCTTCCTCTCCCCTCCACTCTTTACTTAGCAATCAGTACTAATACTTACATTGTTCAGTTTGGATTCAAAGTCCTCCAACGAAGACACTGTCACTCTATAGTGCAAATTATACATAACTCACATAACTCGTACAGATTACTAACATTACACTACATTTATCCATCCATTAGTGATTACCCAAACATGTGTTCCTAATGTATGTATGCAATATGCTGCACCTAATACTCAGTACAGAGCAATTTAGAACTCTTAAGGAGTCAGTAAAAGGACTCTGAAAGTTAATGATTGCATAAAAGACTTATTTCTTCATAGATGCTCTTATTTGGATATACTAGGAATGCGCACGCGCATATTTTGCCTCGCGCCTGCCAGCCAATGCATAAACAGTCCGACTGAGGTCACTCGTGCGCACGCTCTACTGACTGTGCGCGAAGCCAGACTTCCTGCGCGCACGGCGGAAGCTAGACTTGTTACAAATGACGGAAGTTGACATTCCTACGCACAGTTCAAGTTTTGGTAATGGATGCTCAGATCAGTAGTACTCAATTGAGGCATCAGATGCTATCTAATAGCACCTGGGAGTGGAAAAGGGGGAGAGGGAGGGGAGAAAGAGAGAACCACCGACCTCTTCCCTCTCTCCAAGTCATCGTTGTTCTGCTCCAACTGTCTTATGTATTTCTGGAGAGCGTCCTTCAGAGCCAGGAGCTCGACTCTCTCCTCCTGAAGAGTGCTGATGGTCATAAACGCCTCGGCCTGCTGCGAGTCCAGCTTGCTCTGTGTGTGGTGTGATAGAGAGACAGGGGTTAAAATTTCATATGATTTCATGTCTATTATTTGTGACCAGTGATACCAATTCTGTATATTATGTAATAGTGGGAAATGACCATTTTTTCTTCAAAAATCATGAATGGTTTGATGTCCTTTTTGTGTAATGTACCTTTAGTGATTCGTTCTCATCGTCAAGTCTGGCAACTCTGTGCATCAGATCTTTGTTACTCTTCTCTACCTGTGTGTGTGCGTGTGTTCACAGAGATGAAGGGGGGAGAAGGGGAGAGAGAGTTTAGACCGATTTGTGAAAGAAGGGATAGGTGAGAATAAAAGGAGAGGGGGGTTGTAGCTGACCTGGTCTAGCTGGGCCTCCAACTCTCCCTCCAGCTCTCCACTGCTCTCCTGGAACTCGGCAAACTCTGCCCTCACCTCCTCCAAACTGTGTGCCAGGGAATGAATGAAGTAGAAGAGAGAAAAGTGAACTAAACAGCATCGAACAACAGGGCCTTTCAGGGAGGCAAAATAGAGTCCTTCGGAAATAGGGGGCACAAGTTAACCCAGGCAGTAGTTTCTGACATGATGCTGTTGAAACCGTTTTGGGGGGGGGGCAAGTTTCCCTCTTGCCCCGGCCATCCTCTACATAAACCAGAGCAGTAAAATACCTAAAATTAACACCTTTTGCACAGAGGATATGAGATGAGAGTGGAAGGCTCGTATTTGGCAGCGTGGACTATGAGGACCATACATTCCCAGGATATCTGAGGGTACTAATCATTGTGGACTGCCACCTCATTCATATGTCAATAGAGGACCCTGTACCAATTAGGGCAACAAATCAAGACAATAAATCGAGGCGTCCTAAAATACGCACACCTCATGCTATATATAGCTCTTTAACATGAGACATACAACCAAGTGTTTCCTGATTGCTGTATATGTACATTGTAAAGTCACTCATCAAGTGCAGTGTGTTTGGACGTGAGATATGTACTCTGTGCACTGCACTGCAGTGTAACTCTAGCCTCTCCTCCTATGATCTCAGAGCCATACAACAAACATACAATTATATAGGCTTCTAGATAGTTCCGTACCACGCCCACAAACAGTAAGGCCCGTAACTTCTAAACTAAAGACGAATAATACTTGGAAGAAGTGCATCGCTACCCTACCCCTAAAAAATCGTCAATGTGTGTGTGGTGTATATATATGGCACTACCAAACATAATTGTCCATACGTCAAGGGCCCTTTTCCCATACCACGTAACACGGTATAATATTATTGTCTAAACCTCAAGCCACATTGGGCACAGTGGATCAACTGATCGATCAAGAGGTATGTATATGTATGTATGTATGGCCATCATACACGGCAGTGTATGCACCTAATGTATGCACATCGATCCACCGCACTTGGGACTGGGCATCGCCACATTGTGTGTCTGGCAACCGCCCACGGCAAACAGAGGCATACATATGTTGAGATAGAGAGAGAGACACGAGATTTGGCCACCAGGTGCCAGTTGTGGGCCAATTGTCCGCTTCTTACACGCCATCGATGCCAAATACCACCCACATTTACAGTACGTGAGACTATCGAATCTAGACAAAACCAACAAACAACAAATTTACGACGACCTCTCTCTACAGTAAGATGATACATGGAGGAGAGAAAGGGTGATAATGTCAAACTGTTTAGGTCGAGCAGGCAGAATTGTTAACTAGCCTCATCAGCTACTACACAGTTCGTTAGTAAAGTGCCCCAAACTTCATTGCTGACTTGCTCAGCATGCAATTTCCTCTCAATTTCTCACTCCTTTGTAATGTATATACCTTGCCTAACACTGTTGCCACGGTTGTGGAAATGTCCATTTACATACGTACATAGGAAGTTGCTCTTCCCCTGTGTACTTTGTCAGTGAATAAGTGTGGCTTTGATGCGGCACACCCATTGTATTACATAACCTCTACACAACAGGAGCAAGTGAGGCGTGTATGTACGTTCAACCCATAGAGACCTGGTACGTCTGTGTAGCCAACTGAAGAGTTAGTTTACTGGCAATAGAGTATTATCTGACCAAGTTTTAGGTGGAGTAAGTATTGGGCAGGCTGAGCTTGATGTCTAGGTGGGTTCTCCTTGACTGTGACTCCATTTACCAGTTACAACACGTTCAGTTTGGAAGTGCCTTCTCAGCTAGATGAATAGACCCCACGCAGATATTGTAAGGCGCTTGGTACGGTCTAAAGTAAAAGGGTATGAGGCCACTGTCGAGCTACTGAAGCATAGCTGACGCGTTTTGCTGGCAACCCCATTACTCACCTTTGTCTATACTCGAGCGCTTTCTCCTTCCAGTACTCTAGCTCTTCCTGTAGCGAGCTGAAGACCACCTCGCCCTCCGACTCGGCCATTGTACCGCTCTCCTTTCCTGTGAAAAACTGAGTTTCTACACGTCCGTCTCCGTCTCGTCCGTCCCTCTTCGAACTTCGAACTGATCTGATTTGGACTTTGCCCAGCCCACTTTATGATCGACTTATACGTGGGCGTGGTCTATTTACCTATCCAATTGAGCGAAGGGTAATTTCGAACCCGGTCGAGTTTTTGTTTTGTCAAAGGAGAGGGGATCGGGCGGCTGAGCGCTCCTTCTAAAACCAATCGAGTCGCGCCCCTTGGCGCGTGCATGGAGACACGATTCCGCGCTGTCGAAGACACGGCACAGCAGCACGTCTGTATCTCCCTACCTCTTGATCCCGAGGCCGAAACTCTAGTACCGCCTCCTCCCTCCTCCCAAAACGGTCCCCACACAATGGACCACAACTACTACCCTAGAGCCGACAGCGACTCTGACGACTCGACCCACAAAGACAGAAGAAGAAGAACCTTTACCAGGACAGAGCTCTCCATCTCTTTCGGACTCACTCCCGCCTTTTTCTCCACCCACTGACCTTCCTTCCTCTTCCCCCTCCTCTCCTCCCCCACCGCCTACCCTCTGCCGTCAACCTAGTGTTTCGGACGACCTCCTGTGCATGATCTGTACCTCGCTGCTCCACAATCCTATGTCACTCCACTGTGGCCACACCTTCTGTCGGCTCTGTCTGGCTGCAATGTGGAAGAATGCCAACATGACAATGTCTGCAATCGAGCTCAAGTGTCCTGTCTGTCGCAGCTCCTGGAGGAACTTTCCCGGAGTCAACATACAGCTCAGGTATATACACATACACACAGAAATAAAGCTCAAAACTGTATCTTAGCCATGGATTATAGAGGGAAAAGAACAAAATGTTCAATTTGTTACATATTGTAGGGGAAAACTTTTTAATGTTACGGATTTCTATACAAGTTTTGCCACTCACAAAGTTTCGCTCTATATCGCGGATAGCTCATAAGTTCCCCACTGTATGGCATCTTTCCCTGTTCTCTTGGTCTCATGTCCAGGAGTGTCATAGAGAAGAGCTATCCTCAGGAGTGTGAGGAGAGAGAGGGGAGTCTGACGCCAGAGGACCGCGGCCTGCTGGCCAGGTTCAGGCAGGCCAAGGAGAAAGAGTCGCAGTGGAAGGACAACGTGGTGCCTCGTCTGAGGAGACAGGAGATACAACGATTGGTCACTGGACTCTGCTGCATCTTTGCCGTCGTCCTCACCTTGCTGGTAAGGATACAATACTACGAGAGTTGTTTTACTTTTTATATTCGTGAAAGTAAATTTTGCCCACCTACATACATAATTATACGTGTAGCGTGGAGTTGTTCGGCATTTTTAGCTATCTTTCTTTGGAAGTTTAATTTTTATGCATTCAAAAGTTACTCACTTGATTTACTGATTGACCCATAGCTTAGCGATGTTATTTCAATCTCTCGTACTTTCAGATGGTAGTGTTCAGTCTGGTGTTCTGGACGTGGGCTGGGGCAGAGGGAGAGTTCATGAGGAAACCAGCCAGTCAGTGGAGTCAGAGAGATGTGACAGAGTGGCTGGATGGTCTCGGTACCTGGGCCACCAAAAACTACTCCGATTTATTCCAACAAGAGGTTGGGACGAATTCTGAAACTCTGGACATGAAAGATATACGCGCACACACACACACACACACACACAGCATATCAACGGGCCACGGCTGCTACTTTTGGACGAGGATTCCCTGAAGGCAATTGGAATCAAAGACAGCTACCATCAGCGGTCCATTCTGTATGGGATCCAGGAACTGAAGTCGGCAGAGTTCAACGCTCCAAGGAACTTTTACGAATTTAAGGTCCATAAAACCTCTTGTATAGTGTCAGGAAAAAGTCAGTTAAGTACATTTTATGCAGGCTGGTCACAGAAGGCAGACGTTGATGGTAGCAGTGTTTTACTCCGTGTGGCCAAGATTCACAATCTTCTACTGTTACATCTTCCACTACCACGAAATCTTCTCGCCCTTGTTTCAAACACACCCCCCCAGCCACAGAGACGGTGGCGAGACAGAAGTGGTTGCTGCTGGGGAGTCGAAAGAGCTCAGTTACGTGTATCTAATGGTGCTATTCCTTGTGGTGTTCCTGGCACCGCACGTCTTAGTGGCTCACCTAGCTTGGGAGTGGACCGGTGTGTACCCGTGGGTTGCTTACCCTGTCCTCGTCCACTGTTGCTGGGAAATTTGGCTGGAGGGGAAGGGGTTAACCGGGAGACTTCGCTCGGGGAACTGGGCTGGTTTGGAGCTAATGAGCTGGAGTGAAAGACTTGTCCAGCTCTCCAGGTATGTGCTATAAGTCTATAACAATCAGCCTCAATGAGTGTTCTCTCGGTGTATTACGTACTTTAGAGCTGGACTCAAGGTGACCATAAAAAACGGCATATTTTTCGCAATTTTCTTCATCGTCTTCTGGCTATTGTGGCACGTTACACCGCACTTCCTCTGTGACCTCATCTTTCGCTACTTCCTCTGGCATGCCGTCATCTACCTGGTGCTCTGGACCCCTCTCAGGAAACTCCGCAGACTCTGTGGTGCAGGACATTTCAGGGCACAGATACACATGAATTTCAACAGGCCTGCCGTAGTCAACGCAGGCTAATCTTTAGTCACGTATCTTAATTCACATATATACTCTGTGGTCTTTTGTGCACTATTCTAGAGTGAAGTTTAACGTGATCAATATATGCATTAACGAGTGACGATTCATTCGACACTGCAAATGTGTGCGTTTGTGTTGGTATAATATGGAGAGAGGTTCATTTGACGCCAACGTTGGCAGCAATCTGCTGCTGTGTCCCGACCAGTCCCATCTGCTGGGCTCTGAATGACTTTGGACACTGGGGAATAAATTATATAGTCAGACAGTCAAAATTATGATTTATTAACACCAAAATTTTATGTATTTGTACTGCAAAAGTATTCAGTGCTTAAAAACTTGCAGTGTATATACCATAGGACTAACCGTGTTGGCATAATGGCCTTTCTCTCCACACTGGAAGGAGAGAGAGAGAGAGAGAGAGAGAGGATGGAGAGTGATATAATAGAGAAATTCACTCACCTTGAAACAAGTGACAGTCTCCAGTGGTCGCTTTACTGTCATTGAAACGTACGGTTTTGCAAGTCTCGCCTGGTTTGAGTCACCCAACTGTAGCAAATAGAGAGCTTCAGAATGAGTCACACAGTAAATCACGTATCATCGTACCTGAATGTTTGAGGTGGTGCCAGTGGTATTAGTGACAGGAATGTCAAACTTTGCACTGAAGGGAAAAGGTATATCTCCACCCTCCCCTCCTCCAAGTGACATTCACACACCCTAGAGGATTCGGTCCCTAGCCTATAAGGAGTGAGCCCCCTTCTCTCTCCCACTGTCATGGGTAACTAGCATGCAACACGAGAGGGACACACCCACACCCACACGGCATGGAGCACTAGGTGACTCACTGATTGTACTTGCATTTCGGTCCGTCGGGGCAGAACCCACAGAGGTAATTCTGGCACAACACACGTCTAGTGTGTCTGTTCCTACAACTTGGACCTGAACGATACAGATCTCAGTGAGGAGAGAGAAACAAAGGAGAGAGAGAGAGAGGGGGGAGGGTATCCTACCATGTTTGCAGAAGCCTCTGTCGTACCAGGCACAGTCCCTTATCTTGAGGGTCTCTGCGTCGACGTGAAGGTACTGGCAGTCCTTGTTGGTGCACTCGCCAAATCGCTGAAAAAAGTAGCAGACGGGCATCTTGGACATTTCGTACTCGTGGAGGAATTCACAGTCGTCTCCCTTTTTGCAGAGGTGGCGCATCCAGTGTTTGCAGACCACCGTCCTCTCTCCACGCATGTGGCGGAACGGACAGTGGCTCCCTCGCGAGCACACTCCGTTGAGGTAGAACTCGCACAGAGCCGCCTTGTTCTCTGCGGTGGAATGGTGTGTCAGTGTGTGTGTGTGCGTGTGTACGTGTGTGTCTCACTGTCCATCTTTGGAAAAGGGAGTGGTATGGTCCCCGTCTGCTTCTCCAGCTGGTCCTCGATCTCGAATTCATAGTCCTCCACATTCGACACCGCTTCTCGCAACATTTTGTTTCAGACGACCCGCCAGAGGGAATTCCAATTAGTGCGCACCCAACGCTGTCGTCTAAATAACCGAAACGTAGCTGCGCGAAGTGCCGAGAAAAGTTGGAAAAACCCTCTCAAAGAGCAAGAGTCACTAAAAATGCCCCGAGGTAAACCCCTTCTATTGAATTACTCCACGTATGTTCGTTATTTGCCTGCACCAACGTGCTGTCTAGGTGGTAGGACACGAGGTCACAAAGGCAGACCCAAGCACTACCTCACGCGGGAGGAGATAGAGGCCGAGGAACAGAGGAAGAAGAAGGAATCCGAATGGAAGGTGGGTGGGGTTGTGTACATCTTGGTTGAGTGACTGAATCCCTCGACAAATGCTTTGATCAAAACTGATTTGTTTTTGTGTGTATGATGCCCGTGGAAACTTGTTGCATCATCCTGTGAATAACTCATAAACAGTCTCTGAATATTGTACGTTCACAGCGTCGGAAGGGAGGAGGGCCCGGGGAGGAAGGGGAGGAGGAGGAGGAGGAGAGTGTGTCTGTGGATGAGGGGGTTAAGGAGAGGGGGGCACAGTTTGCGACGAGGCCTGTGGGCACCATGCCGTCCAGCAGCAGCAGTGAGGACGAGGATGAAGATGAGGACGAGGAAGAGGATGAAGAGGTGGGTGATGCAACCTCTGAAGTGCATATACCGGTTTGGGTGGGTGGTCTATTATTGTCAGTGTACTAGTATACATGTATTAGCAGGAGTGAAAGTTGGTGTAGGTGTTAGTTTCCTGTGAGAATTCTTATGCACACCTGCCAAGCAGCCTGACTCCTCACTATACACTTCTGCACTGCCTCTTTGGTATAATATATCAGCCTCTACTTTTATATCAGTGTGTCTATATGAACATGTTTGCAGTGTCAATGACAATAAGGTTTAGTCAACCAACCTTCATGCTTAGTGGATAATGGTTTCTCCCTCTACTGTGTGTATGTATGTACATGGTGTGGTGCAGCCCAAGGCCAAGGGAGTGGAAGCACTGATCGAGATCTCAAACCCAAACAGAGTTGCCAACAAAAGCAAGAAAGCCTCGCAGATTGACGTCAATGCCAAGGTCGAGCTGTCCCGACGGGAAAGGTAAACGACACAGTTCAGCCCGGTGTCATGTTTATTTTCCGGGTTCCTTGTGTCACTGTTCCGGGATCCTTCCTCGCGGCTGTCAGAGAGGAGATAGCACGTCAGCGGAGTGTGGCCAACTACAGGAAGCTCCACGAGGCAGGGAAGACGGAGGAAGCCCAGAGAGACCTGGCCCGCCTGGCCATCATCCGACAGAAGAGGGAAGAAGCTGCAAAGAAAAAGGAGGAAGAGTTGAAAGGTCAGTCTTCACGTTTGTTCTATTGTGTTGGGTTTCAACACTTATATATAGTAGGGTATGAATGTTTTTGTTAGGGCCTTTCTGATGAGACTTTTTCTCTTTATTACAGCAAAAGAAGCAGACAAGGACAAAAAGAAAGCCGCCAAGTAGTCAGATTTATCACAGTGTGACACTGCAATAATAATTGGCAAAATGTGATGATGTAATACCAATAATTCGGCGCTGCGGGTATTCGTTGCGTAGCAACGTAACACACATGCAATTTTTCCCGCGACCCCGCGGAATTCGCGCGGAAATTCATTATGCACACTCAACGTGCATCCTCAAAAGCTTAGAGCAGCTTCGCGACCGACAGATCTTGCTGAAACTAGAGAGTTGTGTGTTGTAGATCTGAGCGTAGTCTCCGGATAAACCGAAATGGCTGTGGACGTGATGCATCTGAGCGCGATCCCCAGCAGCTCACCGCGACGTTCCCCCACACACATCTCCTTCTCGTCTACCCCGAGCCATAGGCCAGTCCGAGCCGCAGGCCAGTCCGAGTCGACAGCAGCAGCCGCAGAAAGACGTGAAGCGCAGTTCCCTGGAGGTTCCCTGCAGCAACAGTCCGTCCCGGTCCAGTGCCGGTGGGGACTCGCTTACGCCCAGCGAGCTGTCGTGGACCGGCTTGCCCGAGGACCAGCAAGCAGTGGAGCGCTTACAGCAGTGCCGCAAACAGCTGGAGGAGGAGATAGATGTGAGTATATAGTCTAGCGGGTCTAGCGCTTGGAGGCAGCTTGTAAACAGCGGCTAGTGCTGCCTAATTTCATGGTCGTGTTTATGCTGCCCGGTCCTGCGATACTCACAGGCATGTTGAGTCTGCGCCGACTAAACTCTTTCTTTCACATATGAATTTTCCATCCATGAATCAAACAGAAATGGTGCGACTCTTAGTGCGTGTAAGTCAGAGTCTTTCTCCTTGTCTGCTCCACCACAGGATATGGTAGATGAGTTGACTAGGATCGGAGAGGAGATGAACTGTACCTCAGAGTGCCTCCAGATCCTCAGAGATAGGTAAGACCCCCTTTTCCCCTTACACCTACCAACACTCCTTTCCCCTCTTCACTCACATCGCCAACATCTTGCTACCGTGTGAGTACACTCACCACCACTGCATCGCATGCACAGTCCTGCCAAGACATGCACACGTGCAGCTGCCTCGATCGCACGACGTATCAAATGAGCTTTGCAGAATTATTGGATAATTATTTGGTGGTAGTATCCCAACCCCAGTTTCGTCCATCGGGACGAAACTGGTGTCTGTACACTCTCGTTCTGTCCTCTTGTTTTTTCCTGTTTAGTGTACTTCGATACAGACGTGTCTCTTTGTTAGCCATTGAAGATACACATGTTTCTGATCGGTTCTGGAGCATGTGCAGTAAACATTGTCAGCCTCAATACGTACGTGCGGGCACCCAAACCAAACAAAAGAGTAAAGACTCAAAGGAATTTAGTCAACCGCCAACTCTTTTTTTACATACAAGCCAATCCCCAAGTCGAGAGCAGAAGTGCTCCCAAAAAATGACAGCGTAACTCGTTGGTGGTGGTCCGTGTGAATTGCTCGCGATTGGCTATATCGATCGGGAGCCCGTAATCATTGGCTCGTTACAAGTTAAGGTATCAGTGTGCATACCTGTGCCAACAGTGTGTTGCCATCTGCAGCCTTTTCGGGCGGCTAGCTAATGTTCTGTCCCACATTGCATTCCTTTTGCTTTCCTCCCCTCCACAGTGCCCAATACTCCCACCTCCTCCCCTCTCTTTCTCTAGGTCTGGCTATATTATACCCACTATCTTATAGGGGCTGGATCACTCTATGACCATTATACATAATGGGTTCAGAGTTGTCCGTATAATGTGCATGGAGCAATCGAGCCTCTGGACTCTATGGTTATAGTCAAACAAGTTCTGGCACTGTTGTTGATACTTTTGTTAGTGTTCAGTGCTCGCCTTGTGTGTTAAGCATTGAGGCTGTGTGTTCTGTTAGTATTGAGGCTGTATGTTGTGGTCTGGCTGGATGTGCAGGGAGGAGAGACGTGCTCCTTTCTGCCACCAATTGTGGCCCACAAAGAGCTGCTGCTTCCCGATACATTGGTTGTTAATATCCTGGGCATGCCTCCAGCCTGCGCCTCGTAGGATAATTCAGAAAAGATGGGAAACTATAAGCGTATAAAATGGATGGTGTCCCATGAACATAAACACTCATTTCGAGCCTCCCATCCCACTATAGTGCGGTTTTACTCGTTCACCCCCTCCACCCTACATGTGCCAGTACAACTGTGTATTGGTCCTGCAATGTATCACGTACCCATGTGATAATTGTTTGGAAATTTATCTTGGAGTTTATACAGGTGTCATGGGATACTTTTCCCCGTGATAAATATTTGTCCTTTCCCCCCGGGTGACCACACCATGCACCATATACAACACTCTTTCTTCTTCTTCCAACTACTGCCTCCCATTTTACTCTATTACACTACGCTTCTCTCTCTCTCTCTCTTTGTAGTGATGAAACTCCGCAGAAGAAAGATCTCAGAAGAGCTCGGAAAATCTTCAAAAACAAACCCAAAGATGTATGTCTCTACACAATGTTACACACTGTAGCTACACTCGTGTTTGTAGTTGTGGGCCCTGAATGGCTTTGTGTACAAACCCACGGGTTTTGGGGGCTGTAGTGTAGTACTCAGTCAGGCATGTTGGTTGGTATGTGTTCCACCACCACACACTACAGCTTTGATACTGGGGGTTTGTTTGTCCGTGGTTGGTTTGTGTCTTGTTCCAGCTGTACTACTCGCTTCTGCTGGGAGAACATGTAGTACGTTTCTTTCTAAGCCATGCTCCCGCACCAGCAACTTATGGGTATATACCGAGACTGTGTGTGTAATGTGGCTAATGTGGCTAATGTGGCTAAAAGAGAAATGTCATGAGAGAGAGATAGCGTAGTCTGGTTTTCACAGCGGTGGGTGATAAGATTGGGCGGCATTCTCCCACCCACTCGGCCTTCTCGTTTCCTATCTGAAAATATCAACTGCTCTCTGGAATAACTTCTCTCTCCCGGTGTTTTTCTTTGGACGTGGTACTTTCAGTCACTGATCTCCATCCTGATCTTACGTGGTTCTTTCGATGTAATTCTAATGTTCGATCTTTCCTAATTTGTGTATATACCCAGTTGCACACACAGTACATGGGACATGCGTCTTTAAGATTCTTGGCGTAGTTCCACCGCAGCCCATTTGTGAATCTGTAGCCGATCTGCCTCTTAGTGAACATCACTTGTTCCACTTAGAGCTGTGTACACACGTCTTTAGCATAATGGCCACGCACATCGCCACGTGTCCACGCCTGTATATGCCTGTTTGAAATCTCAGAGTCTCTGACTGGTGGCAAATGCTAACCCATTAGCACTCCCGTGTGAGAGAGTGTGTTGACTCCAGGTCTATTGAGGCCTTCTGGCACGAGGCTCACTAGGACTTAGTGAAATCGGAAAAATGCAGTCTTTCCAGGTGATATCCACTTACCAGATATAGAGAAAGACCAGCTTCTGCGTGGAATGAAAAACTAAACTAAGATCTGAGCATATACGACTGCCAGACAAAGTCATTTACCTGTATAAAAAATAATCCTGTTGTGTATTTCACCATTTCAGCTAGCAATCTTTTTCTCCCTCCTTCCCTCTTGTGCCCCCTCATTTTCCAGGCAATCAAGTTCCTGTTGGAGAAGGAGCTACTCAACGACACGCCAGAAGACGTAGCTCTCTACCTCTTCTGCAACGGAATGGACAAAACGGCACTGGGAGACTACCTCGGGGAAGGGTGAGGGAAAAACACACAGCCACACAATACATTTTTCTCGTGTACACGTGTTAGCGCTGTTCCAGGAACCAGAGTAGAGGTGATCTGTTTGGCAGCGGGGCAGTGAATGTTTACTCTGAGAAAATTATCTTCATTTTTACACTGCCGGTTGCTGGGGCACCCTGTTCTTTATCCTGCATAATTCCGAGGATACACACACTTAACGTCACTTTTGTACTTTCACATACTTGCTGGGTGTAAGGTGGTGTGGGTGTTTACTGAGAATCCTACTAGCCTTCTTTATCCTGCATTTCACATACTTGCTGGGTGTAAGGTGGTGTGGGTGTTTACTGAGAATCCTACTAGCCGCTAATGATACCTCCATCAGATGTGGAGTGATCTCAGGGCAGCCATACATTCAGTGCCTTGGTTCCTGCTATAGCAACTTCAGGGCCCACAGCAGATTTTACCTGGCTTCAGTACGCTCTGTATACAGGCTAGGTGACCTAAATGTTGTCATTGTGAATCTGCCTGGAAGTTACTGCATGATGATGTGTGTTACAGAAGGCAAGTACAAATGAATCCAACGATTCAACTTCTTTCAGGAAGAAGACCTGCCCTGGGTGTAACTCTCTAACACACACCACTCTACTCTTTAGCTAGAGTGCACTCTGATTGGCGTTTTCGATCTGGCATAGTATAGAACTGCTTGCCTGTGTGTCATGGTGATGTAGCTGGGATACGTCTATACCACCCAATTTACTATGGCTAGAATTTTATAAAGCCTGCGTTCCTGTAGAACAAAGTGTTGGCTGTTTCTTTGAGTCAATTGCTGTGAATGCCCGGTGTTTGGTACCAGCTCTGCCCCTTCTCTTGTACCTCATTTGTAACGACTCAATGGGAGTTTCGCTCGTTGTCCCGCCCTCATTTTCTCATCTCATTCACTCACTCACTCACCCACTCACATACGTGTGGTCATGCACACCGCAGGAAAGAGTTCAACATTAAAGTGCTGCAAGAGTTTGTTCGACTGCACAAGTTCCACGGGATGGACCTCGTCCGAGCGTTGAGGTATTTACCACTCCCTTGTGTGTTGTGTGTATACATCCACCCCTTTGTAATGCACTTACAAAGGTCCAGTGTCTAACCACACCATTACAGGAAGGTCATAGTAGGGTTTTGAAGTTCATGACCTGAAGTAGATTTGTTAACCACTTGGCTGCCGGCTTACTAAAGAGGTGATAAGTGAGTGCCTCTCTCCTAATTTGCTAGGGTTTCCTCGGGAGTTTTCAGCTGCCGGGCGAAGCACAGAAGATCGACCGAATGATGGAGTCGTTTGCCTCCCAGTCTG